ATTTAATACCCATATTAAGCTTATTCATAGCAAAATTTTAAATTCAATAACACATGACCTTGAACAAATACATTCCTGTATACTGAAGCCTTGCAGTGATTATTATGTCTTCCATGCTGTTTTATTTTTTTAATTGTGGTAAGAACACTTAATGTAAGACCTACCCTCTTAACAGAATATTAAGTACCCAATACAGTGATGTTAAAATATATACACAACATACTACAGACCTTTGGAACTTACTCGTCTTGCATAATCAAAACGTAGAGCCATCGAATAAGAACTCCCCATTTGCCCCTTGCCCCTGCCCCTGGCAGCCATCATTCTACTTTCTGTTTCTATGAATTTGACTATTTTAGGTATCTCAAATTAGTGGAATTCTACAGTTATTTCTCTCTTAGTGGTTGGCTTATTTCACTTAGCATGAGGTCCTGTCCTCTAGGTTTATTCATGTTGTCCAAAAGAGTTGAAATCAGAACCTCAAATGTGTATCTGCAAGTTCACTGCATGTTGTCCAAAAGAATTGAAATCAGGATCTCAAATCGGTATCTGAATGTTCACTGCAACATAACTCACAACAGTCAAGATATGGAAATAATTAAATGTACATTGACAGATGAATGGGTTAAAAAAGTATGGCATATACATACAATGGAATGTTATTCACCCCCAGAAAATGAAGGGAATCCTACTATATGAAGAATGGGATTTTAATAGATGGGGTAGCGATCCAGACTGGAGTGCTTTTGATAGTAAAAGTGAGCATTGTTGATTGTTATTCCAGGATAATAGGTATAAATCCTGGCTATTTCATGCAAATTGGGACATATTGTATTTTAGTAGAATGAGTCTTAAAGCAACCATGAGCAGAGAACCCTGAATGTTGTCAAGGGAGAGTTCATTATGTATGCAGTGAATGAAAAAGTCCAAGTTGGTTGAAGCACAGGAGATGAATAGGGGGAGAAAAACTAGAAAGGTAGTCTGGGGCTTGAACTAGGATTGGAATTGTATTTTCTTAAACATAAAGCTAAGACATTTGGAAATTATTAAACAAGTAGTGGAGAAGCATTGCAGTTTTTAAAATAATAAAGTGACTTTGTTTGCTCTCAGTGATGTCAGTGATGTGCAGAATGAATTGGATCAGGCAGAGACTACATGCAGGAGCCCAATAAAGGGACCACAGCAGCAGTTAGAAGAGAGAATGAGAGAATGTGGACTGAATCCAGGCAACAGGAATAGAAAGGAAGGCGTGGATGAAAGACACATCAGAAAGAAGGAGTCAAGAGAACTTACTAATTGAATATAAAAAAAAGATCAGCTAAGAAAAAGAGAAAGTCAAAGGCAATGCCCAAGAGTTTAAGCTGAGGTGACTATAGGCATTCTATACTTGTAGGTTAGAAGTAGGAAGGAAAGGGAGGTCTACAAATGAGTATAGAACTGAGATCCTATTCTTAACTGTAATTTGGAAATATATATATAAGATAACAATGGTGCATCTGTAGTTTAACTTTTGAAAATTCTTTTATGCCAGGAGTATTTTGAATAACTCTGAGTGTGAACAACTTGTTTTTGAAAAAACTGGACTTTGATTTAGAAGGAGGGTAAGGGAGATGGTTGAGGTATATTTCTCTATAAACTATTTTTTCTATCTTCTTTCTAGGATCCAGTGGGATGTAATCCATTTTTAGATTAGTACACTGGTCCTTAGTTTATACTTACTGTAAAAGTGAACCCAACTGAGGAAAATGTACAGCTATGACAGACCTCTAACTAGAATATGATTCAGAATGATTTTAAACCACGAGCTTGTATCACCCAGTTACCTCAATACCTATCTTAAGAGTCTTCAAAATTATCTGAACTAAGTACTTGGTTTTTTACAAAAAAAAAACCCTCATTTTTCACAGAACATTGGGTTTGTACAGATGCCTTGAAATCAAAGAAAGAAACAATGATGACACTTTATAACTTGTGAAATTCGAATTAAGCTTCTGCTGTGTTGCTGACTCCCAAAAATGGTGCCCAAGCAATATTTTATATGTTATATATTCAATTTTCCAATGATTTTCTAAGCAGAGACTTTTTTCCAGCAGGGAATATGGAGAGAAATAAGAAGTGGAAAGAAATAGATGTCTCTCTCTTATACACACACACTCCTAATTTTAAAAGAAAAAAAAATTTAAAGAACAAAGGGAATAAAATCACTAGAGGAACAAATTCAGAAATAAGAATTTTTAATTTAGAAAAACTTTCCTACTTTTTGAAACTCTTGAATTCTTCAAACTGTTCTACTTTATTCAGTGTTCTTCCATGTTTAAATACTATGACATTAACAAGTCTGGCCATGGTGTGTGGTATGGTCTGCTGTTTCTCTGAGGCAGTGGTCCAGAAAAGGAAAGTAGATTTGAATACATTATCTTGCCTGGTCCCAGAATAGAATCCCCAGACATCTCAGGGTGTGAATTACTGAGAAATGTTATCCCTCTCTGGTGAGAGACTAGACTGCTAGGAGAGTGGATAGAGTGGTTGTGTGGGTGCACAGTAGCCCCTGGTGCTGTGACATGTTCTTGGTACAAAAAAGAAAGAGAAATTGTAGTATAAACCCCCCTTGTTGTTGTTGTTATAAAACCCCCTATAGATCAAAACTCTGATTGATGCCATTTATCAGGACCAGTGGCCAAGCACTGTGGGTTTTATTTCTTAGAAATTTCCTTTTGGGCTCTGCTTCTTTCCTTGTGCCTTATTTTTTTTTAATTGGTAAGTTTCTTTTACTCATCTTTCTAGTATGTTTACCTCTTCCTGTGCTGACTACATAATATAAATAGAAAACATTATAATGCTATATAATAGTCATTATAAACATGCATCATAATGTATATTATCTATGATGTAACCATGTAGATACAAACATATCATACGTATGATATTACAGGACACAGGCCAACCTGGCTGGTGCTTCTCTCTCCTTGGTAGTTATGATTACACACAAGGGCTTTGACAACTTCAAGATTTCTAATGAAAGCTTATCAGTGTTCTAGTCTTCTCTTCCTTCCTTCTTTGCCTGCAGGCATGCCTTCTTAGGTGTCCTACAATGTAGCAACTGCCCTGAGAGGATGAGAACCCATCTTGAGTAGGATGTGTCAAAATGCAAATAAACCAGATCCTTTCCTCACCCTCTAGCAGGTTTTGCCTTCAATGATTGTTTAAGGAAGAAATCTAGATTATCTTTTTTCTCTCTCTCTCTTTTTATTATTCTCATAGTTCTTCAGTCCCAGTGAAATGTCAGATTCCTGAGTTGAAATTGGATTTAAACAAGTAATGGTTTGTTTCTGAATTGACCATGATTAGCTTTCCCTATGATGGATCCATTTCCTGTTGTGAGGTGGAGTAATAAGGATGTGTGTGGAGTTTTCAGTATGGCTAATTGGAGTCTTTCTAGAAAGTTGTAATCATATTAGAATAGCGCCTAAGTGAAAAAGATTGGGCATAGGAGACTTAGATGTTTGCCTGCCTCTGCGACTATTCTCTCATGGACCTTATATAAGGCAACTTACCTCACTACCCTGAAAAACCCAAAGGTAGGAAACTCACAAACTTATGTAAGTGAAAACAGGAAAAGTATAACAGGGCTTTATCAATATACAAGGTATTACTGTGTCTGTTACTGTACAATTATTATTCATTATTATTGCTACTACCACCACTAAAAATAGAATGTAACTTCAGCCTGTCTGTGCTAAAAGATTGGAACATATCCATCTAACCCCTAGAACAAGAAGTTTTTGCTATGAAAATTCTCATGTGCATCTTTTAAGCCTGTCAAATACATTGATCTTTCTCTTTTCTAATAGATTCCTCCTTAAGTTTCAACAATGATTGTAGTTTTGCTTACTTTTAAGAGAAGTTTTGACCTTCTAGACCCCTTACAAGCTGAACAAAATTTAATATTGGAAATAGGAAATACTTTAGATGAAAACCTGAGTTTCCTTACTGGATACTGGTTTGACTTGTGATCCTTAGAAAATTACCATGTCTCTTTGAGCCAAATTTTCTCTAAATCTCATTTCACAATATCCAGCTTACAGAATGGCTGGAAAATTACAGTTTAGAGCACTTCATTTCGTAATGCATTATAGACATTGTTGTTTGAATGGTTGCAACTCTGTTCCTCATAGAAAGCTTATGTAGCCAATCCTTTATTTAATCAGAGTACCCTTTATATGTGCACGTAGAAAGATAATAGAGAGAGAGAGGAGTGGAAATGGCTTTTTTTTTATTATGTCATGTACTGGGAAGCATGAAGGAGACAATTAGAAAATCAAATAGCTTAAATTATAATTTCAAATAAAAGAATTTTTGATGTTAGTGTACTCTAACTTCTAAAAAATTTTACAAATAAAGAATCAAGAGAATAAACGCTAACAGCTTTGGAAGAACTTCTTTAATCACAGAGGCATAACCACTCTCTGCTGTTTAAGTCTTTGATTGCAGAAATACATCTGATCTACCTTTTAGAACTATTAAGTATAAAACGGCATATCACTGTTGTTATTATCTTTTGTGTGTTCAGTTACTCAGTTGTGTCTGACTCTTTGCAATCCCATGGACTGTAGTCTGCCAGGCTCCTCTGTCCATGGGACTTTTCAGGCAAGAATAATGGAGTGGGTTGCCATTTCCTTCTCTAGGGAATATTCCCAACCCAGGGATCAAACCCAGGTAACCTGCATTGCAGGCAAATTCTTTACTGTCTAAGCCACCAGGAAAGCCCAATTATTTTTTTATGTCTTCCTATGTATATTTTTGCAGTAAACATTAGTCATTTTGTATCCCTTTTAATTCTTCCCCCGCCCCCTGCCCACCTTCTAATACCATCACCTTGAGGATTAGGTTTCAACACAAGGACTTGGGGGAGACACGTTTAGTCCATAAGAGGGAGGAAAATGGATGCTATGTGAGTCTTCTCAGAATCCTTTTAATTCATTGTTCCTCTTCATCTTTAGGAGTTGTACAGATGTGCTGTGCTGCATGATCTTCATACTGTTCATTATGGCCTACATTCTTTTAGGACTTGCAGGTGAGTAAGAACAGGTATAGAAGATATTTAACTTTTACTATTTACATGACTAAGTCAATGGCACATTTTTGACATTAATCATTCCCAAATCCTTCTTATTATTGATTATTATCTTTTCTTGTGGGAGTATACCTCACCAGAACTCATTGGGTAGGAGAAGCAATGAAAAATAAACACAAAGCAGTTTATTCAAAGGCAAGTCTCTAAATTACTTAGATAGATAAAATTATACAAAAGAAAGAAAAACCCTTATATTTGCTTTTTAATCATTTTTACTTTTGAAATTTTATTAAGCAGCTAATTAGATTCACAATATTATTTACTAATTAGAGTTAGGGACTCTTGATAAAAGTGAAAAAGGAGAGTGCGAAAGCTGGTTTAAAACTCAACATTCAGAAAACTAATATCATGGCATCCAGTCCCATCACTTCATGGCAAATAGATAGGGAAACAATGAAAACAGTGACAGACTTTATTTTCTTGGGCTCCTAAATCACTGCAGATGGTGACTGCAGCCATGAAATTAAAAGATGCTTGCTCCTTGGAAGAAAAGCTATGACCGACCTAGACTGCATATGAAAAAGCAGAGACATTACTTTGCTGACAAAGGTCCATCAAGTCAAAGCTATGGTTTTTCCAGTAATAATGTATGGATATGAGACCTGGACTATAAAGAAAGCTGAACACCAAAGAATTAATGCTTTTGAAATGTGGTGTTGGAGAAGACTCTTAAGAGTCCCTTGGACAGCAAGGAGATCCAACCAGTCAATCCTAAAGGAAATCAGTCCTGAATATCCACTGGAAGGACTGATGTTGAAGCTGAAATTCCAATACTTTGGCCACCTGATGTGAAGAGCTGACTCGTTTGAAAAGAAAAGACCCTGATGCTGGGAAAGATTGAAGGCAGGAGGAGAAGGGATGACAGAAGATGAGATGGTTGGATGGCATCACCGACTCGATGGACATGAGTTTGAACAAGCTCTGGGAGTTGGAGATGGACAGGGAGGCCTGGTGTGCTGCAGTCCATGGGGTCACAAAGAGTCAGACACAAATGAGCAACTGAACTGAATAAGGTTCATGTTACTGTTTACCAATTAGAATTAGAACCTAGATAAGTCTAAGTAACATATTACCTTTTCTTTTTATAAGCAAATTATAAAGAAGGAACAATTATTAAGTATTTCACCAAATAGTTTCTTGACATATAAGAAGTCCTATTGTCTTTGCCTACCAGAAAAAGATAGCCTGGGGTTCGTTGTTAGATTAAAGATTTTTCTATGGAAGTGAAAATAAAGAGGACAAATAAAGTCTTTGTTTAGGTGTGTGTTTTTTTTTAAGTAAAAAAAACTACCAAAAGGGATCAATCAGTATGGCAGAGTAAGAGGACATGAAGCTCACCTCCCCCAACACATCAAAATATATGTACATGTGGGACAATTTTCACTGGAAACGTAGAAAGACTCCAAGGCTGTTAAGATCCACACATAATTGGATAGGAAGGGGGAAAATAAGGCAATCAGGGCAGGTCGTGTGCTCCTGGGAGTGGACCTCAGAGGACAAGAAAGATCACACAGGTGGACACTCCTGTGAAATAAGCAATGAGGACCACAGATTGAGCACCCCTGTCCTGGGTTTCTATACAGAGGAGACAAGCCCTCTTTGCTGGTTGCAGGACTGCTGGGGTAACTGGATGGCTGTGGGAAGCCTGGACTATAGCTGTAAGAAGCACTCATGCTAGCGTGCCCCTGAGGCAGGGTGGAGAGAGAGATGCTCTAGTGGCTACTGGGTTTCCCATAACTTCCTTAGCATGCACACAAGCTGAGCAAAGGCTTTGGTCCTTCTCATTCCACATCACAATGTATCATTGGATCTGGAGCAACAATGAGTGGGTAGAAGACTCGACTGTTGTGTGCAGAGATGACCTCACCCTGGGCATACCCTGGGTGAGAGGGTGGCAGCCACTACTGAACTTACTCAAGCAATACATCTCAAGTAGCTCTCAGGTCTTGGACCGCAGCGGCTCCACCACAACTTATCCTCATTCATGTGCCAAGTGTCCATGTAGCCCAGTGATGTGGTTCAACAAAAGGGTGGGAATGGTGGAGGCTGAGGACAGTGACGTGCTGTGAGGGACAAAGGGGGACTTGCACATCAGGCTGTGTCTGAGCCGAGAAAAGGAAACAGTCGCAGGTGCCTTCACAGGCATTGTGTCAGAGCTAGCTGGGACCTCCGTCTGCAGGCAGTGTGAGCAGAGAGCCCTCACAAGCCCCACTTACCTCAGCACTTCCCCACTCTAGGCCAAAGGTCCCAGTGCAGATAGAGGGGAAGACAGACCAAAAGGGAACAGGACCAGCTTGGGCTCAAGCCTCAGGGCGTCAGCTCCAGCAGCTTGGGCTCAGACCCCACGCCTGATTGGACACTGATAGCCACTCAGCAGAGAGAAAGTCCTGCCTCACACTGGGCTCCAGCTCTGATCCTTCCATCTCTAGTTCCATGGCTGCAGTCACTGTCCATAGTGATTTTGGAGCCCAAGAAAATAAAATCTATCACTGCTTCCACTTTTTCCCCTTTTATTTGCTATGGAGCGATGGGACTGGATCTTAGTTTTTTGAACGTTGAGTTTCAAGCCAGCGTTTTCAGTCTCCTCTTTCACCCTCATCAAGAGGCTCTTTAGTTTCTCTTCATTTTCTGCCATTAGAGTGGTATCATCTGCATATGTGAGCTTATAGATATTTCTCCTGGAAATCTTTATTCCAGCTTGTGATTCACCCAGCCCAGCATTTTGCTTGATGTACTCTGTATATAAGTTAAATAAGCAGGGTGACAATAGACAGCCTTGTTGTACTCCTTTCCCAATTTTGAACCAGTCCATTGTTCCACGTCTAGTTCTAACTGTTGCTTCATGACCCACATACAGGCTTCTTAGGGGACAGGTAAGGTGGTCTGGTATTCCTGTCTCTTTAAGAATGTTCCACATTTTGTTGTGACCCACAGAGCCTAAGTGTTTAGTGTAGTCAATGAAGAAGAAATGCATGTTTTTCTGGAATTCCCTTGCTTTCTGTAGGACCCAGTGAATGTTAACAATTTGATCTCTGGTTGTTCTGCCTTTTCTAAACCCATCTGGAAGTTGTCTGGAGCATCTGGAAGTTCTTATTCACGAACTGTTGAAACCTAGCTTGAAGGATTTTGAGCATAACTTTACTAGCATGTGAAATGAGCATAAATGTAAGATAGTTTGAACATTCTTTGGCATTACCCTTCTTTGAGATTGGGATGAAAACTAACCTTTTCCAGTCTTGTGGCCACTGCTGAGTTTTCCAAATTTGCTGACATATTGAGTGCAACACTTTAACAGCATCATCTTATAGGATTTGAAATAGTTCAGCTGGAATTCCATTACCTCCACTAGCTTTGTTTCTAGTAATGCTTCCCAAGGCCCACTTGACTTCACACTCCAGGGTGTCTGCCTCTAGATGAGTGACTACACCATCACGGTTATCTGGATCACTGAGGCCTTTCTTGTATAGTTCTTCTATGTATTCTTGACACCACTTCTTAATCTCTTCTGCCTCTGTTAGGTCCTTACCATTTCTGTCCTTTATCATGCCCATCCTTGCATGAATGTATCCTTAATATCTCCAATTTTCCTGAAAGATCTCTACCTTTCCCATTCTATTGTTTTCTCTTATTTCTTTGCATTGTTTGCTTAAGAGGGCCTTCATATTGCTCTTTGCTATTCTCTGGAACTCTGCATGTAGTTGGGTATATCGTTCCCTTTCTCCCTTGCTTTTCACTTCTCTTCTTTCCTCAGCTATTTGTAAAGCCCTCTCAGACACCACTTTGCCTTCTCGCATTTCTTTATCTTTGGGATGATTTTGGTCTCCACCTCCTGTACAATGCTACAAACCTCTGTCCATAGTTCTTCAGGCACTCTGTCTATTGGATCTAATCCCTTGAATCTATTTGTCACTACCACTGTATAATCATAAGGGATTTTCTTTAGATCATACCTGAATTTCCTAGTGTTTTTCCATACTTTCTTCAATTTAAGCCTGAATTTTGCAATGAGGAGTTGATGATCTGAGCCACTGTTAACTCCAGGTCTTGTTTTTACTGACTGTATAGAGCTTCTCCATCTTTGGCTGCAAAGAACATAATCAATCTGATTTTGGTATTGACCATTTGGTGATGTCCATGTGTAGAGACTTCTCTTGTGTTGTTGGAAGAGGCTGTTTGCTATGACCAGTGTGTTCTCTAGACAAAACTAAGTTAGCCTTTGTTCTACTTCATTTTGAACTCTAAGTGCAAACTTGCATGTTACTCCAGGTATCTCTTGACTTTCTCCTTTTACATTCCAGTCTCCTATGATGAAAAGGACAGCTTTTTTTTGGTGTCAGTTCTAGAAGGTCTTGTAGGTTCATAGAACTGGTCAATCAACTTTAGGTTCTTCAGCATCAGTGGTTGGGACATAGACTTGGATTACTGTGATCTTAAATGGTTTGCCTTAGAATGAACTGAGATCATTTTGTCAATTTTGAGATTGCACCCAAGTATTGCATTTTGGACTCTTTGGTAGAGAGTCCCAAACATGATGAACCTAAAACAGACCCACACCAAGACATATAATAATTCAAATGACAGAAGTCAAAAGTAAGAGAGAATGTTAAAGGCAGCAAGAAAAAACAGAGTCATATGCAAGGGAATTCTTATAGGCTGTCAGCTGATTTTTCCACAGAAACTTTTCAGACCAGAAGGAAGTGGCATGATATGTACAGAATGCTAAAGGGAAAATCCTGCAATGTAAAATACTCTAACCAGCAAGATTATCATTTTTAAAAAAGAAATGTTAAAGGCTCTTCTCTAGTGGAAAAGAAGTAAGAATCTTAAAGAGAAAATCTCCCTGGGAAAGGTAAATATATAATAAAGACTGATGACAAACCACTTACATAAGCCAACAGGAAGTCTAAAAGACAGGCAATTCTAAAGCGACTATAATTATT